TCTTAAAAACTCTGTTGGCTTCATGATACGTTGGGCGGAGGGGGGGCAAAGGTTGTGTCTCTTTCATGGAAGATCTAGTAGTGCCTCTTAGACTGCAATAAGCCAGTATTAATTAGCCATGGTGTATTGTATTCATGATTGGCTGAGGGTCTGAGAATCTTAAGCCATAAACCAGGGTCAGGGAACATGGTAGGCAAAACGTGTGAGAACTGAGCCTGTATTCTTGCTAGGCCTTCGAGGGTGAGTTGGTGGGTCAGTGTTAACATATGCTCTGAACTAGAAGCAGTTTGGACTGCTTTTAATGGGGGACAAACTCCTGCACAGTTGTCTTCCTTCAGTCTAACACTCTTCCCCTGCACTGCCAAATAAAAGACCTCACTTGGGCTTCTCTTCCTTAGGGGTCTTCTTCTGTAGTGCACCTGCTTGAACAAGATGCTTTTCTACCTGAAGAAAATGAGAGATAAATTGTGGGTTTAAAAAGCCAACAGGTTAATAACTTCTGGCCATGTTGCAATCTGTCCTATAAGAGTAACACAGACTGTGTTGCTGAATGCCGTGAGTTAGTTAGTTAATGTGGTCCTGTGACCACATAGGACACCCAGCACAGGTAACAGGATGTGGCTTTCTCAGCACCCACCCTGGTTTTCTGGGAGAAGGGGCTGTTTTACAAAACCTTTGAAAAGAAGCATATATATTTCTGGAAACTTTTGTGGCTTATAAGAAATAACTGGAGCTTGGATCTGGCCTGGGTTTCCAAGTATGACCTCGACCAGTGTTTGTCAGCATTAGCAACTTCAAGATGTCTACAGCTGAACGCATCTTCAGAATTCTGGGAGTTGAAGTCCACACATCTTGAAGTTGCTAAGGTTGAGATCCATAATCTAGACTATATGTACAAATTAGGGTCCTGAAACCTTTGGTCCTTCTGGAAGTTGCCACCAAATTGTGATTTTTAACCTGACAGAAGGGAGACTTATTAAACTGCATAGGGAACGACTATACTAACTATAATTAATTTGATTCAGTTTAGATTTGTTGATTTTCTGTTGTTGTTCTGGTTCCATCTAGTTTTGTCCAAGTGCAGTTTATAGAGCATCTACCGGTAAGGTGGACTCAAAATGCAAGGGAATAGGGCATGGTGGTTTGCCTTAGACCCCTTTGGGGTCTAAGCTCTAACTCAGTTGGGTTTTAACTAAGAGAGTTGAGTTAGTTAGTTAGTTAGTTAGCTACAGCTACACGCTGTAGCTTAGCATGTTGCATGAATTCAGCCCAATGTGGTTTATTCAATGAGCCTAATTAAACAAACCATGGCTGGTGTGGGTCTTCCGGGCTGTGTGGCCGTGTTCTGGAAGTTTTGTTTCCTAA